GAATGCGGAAGTCCCTGAAACCTGCCCGACTCTTCTGGTTGCAAAAAGAAGTCCGGCTCCATTAGAAATAATGGGGAAATGACCCTACTTCCCAGCTGAGTAATTAACCCATTAAACAATTTCCTGATAGGTTTATGGTCTCAAGTCTCCTTCAACACAAAATTATGTTGATTTAGTAAATTATGGTCCCATTTATTTTAAAATAGACCCCAAAGCAGATTGTTTCAGGGCGAGATTATCAACGATTGACAAGTCGTTACCATGGCGACCTGTCAATCAGGGTAGAGCCGCCTCGTCACTGTGTAAATTTAACCAGCGCCGCTGATAAAGCTTATTAGGAGTCGACTGTTCACTTTCTCTGGTGAGTACATTTAGTTTTAAGACTGTAGTTCGCTAAACAAAGTTATCAGCCCAGTTAAAATGACAGATAACGTGAGTTACAGTTGCAGCTAGCTCCGCAAACAGCCGTTATCTCCGCCGAATCGTCTTTTCCGGGCACAAACTCGACATATCGGCCAAACTCGGGGCTTCAAAACGGCAGTCGACAAAACCAACGGGTGACGTCACGATGACTACGTCCATTTCTTATATACAGTAAACAACAAATATCCCATCTCTTTTACCAAGTAAATATAGCTAAAATTCAGTAACAGTCACTAAAATCAACTTACAGTTTCACCCTGTGTTACTCCCTACACTGAACCATTGTTCATCTGTGTGTAGTCAGGGTAACGTTGCTCAGCAGAGCAGCGATGAAAGGCAGCCTCCCTCGGCGTCCAAACACAATGTGGATTTAAATTGTGAAGCGGAGTAAACAACCAGAACGATTATTTTAAGCCAGTAAACACAAATTATATTTGTATTATTCTGTCATATTTATCAATATTCTTGTTGTTGACAACAACCAATCATTGTTTTGTGTATTATTTCATTATACTGAGTGCTTGCAGACTATTTCTACCACACCTAATGTCTCCAATGTGAAACTGACAAGAACAATATTGGTTTGGCATTTTTATTTATTAAGTAAAAGTGGTAAATAAATATTAATAATTACTCATAATTAATACTTTATAATGGTCTGAGCTTGTCAATGGCAAAAAGAACCACATGAGAGCCACATTTTATTGCCATATACTGCCTCACTCAGCTCGGTGTGGCTCAGCATCTTCAGTGAGTAGAAATAACAGTTTTCACTCTCTGTTCTGACAGTCATGTACCTGTTCCTCCTGGGGCTGGTGGTTTTCTACTACCTGTACCGCTGGGTCAGGGAGCTACCCAGGGTCCCTGACAAGGGCAGCAAGTATGTGTACATCACAGGCTGCGACAGTGGCTTTGGCAACCTCCTGGCCCGCCATCTGGACAAGCAGGGGTTCAGAGTGATCGCCTCGTGTTTCACAGAGAAGGGAGAAGAGGATCTGAAGAAGTCCTGCTCCAGCAACCTGATCACAACACACCTAGATGTTAGGTCTAAGGACAGTGTTGCCAAAGTTGCAGCGATGATTAAGGACAAAGTCGGGGAGTGTGGTGAGTGTGGAGTATTTACCCTTTTTTTTATTTTGGTCCAGACTGAAGTATCTCAACAACTTGGATAGATTGCCATGAAATTTAGTACAAACATTCCAGCTGATTTTGTTGGTCCCGTGACTTTTCCTATAGCACCACCTTGACTTTGACATTTGTAATGTCTCAACAACTGTTGGTTGGATTTCCATGTAATTTGTTACTCCCATTCATGCCCCCCTCAGGATGAATTCAAATTAATTTATAGGCAGCTGAAGGAATATGATTGAAATCCATGCGCTCTGAGGAGCTCCTTGGCTATCAGTCTCTTCTCTCCTCTTTCTCTGCCTCCTTATCTATAGCTAAAAGCTCTTAATTTCAATTAACTGAAAACTCTCGTTCTCTATCTCTTAGCAGGTCAGCGTATTAGATGAAGTTGATGTACCTGCATGATTCATGCTATTTTGGGGTTGTATCCACAAGGCTAGAATGAGGTAGAGCTTAGAAAATTCAGCACATATTGGCATGCTTTGATTTTTCTCTCCTGTGGTGTTGGATTCGGTTGCAACTCTGCTACTTCTGATGGTGAAATTTAGTCTAAAAATGTAAAAAAAGAAAAAAAGAAAAGTACTTATATTGACTGACTGTCCTCTGTGTGATCCTCTTAGGTCTGTGGGCTGTGGTGAACAATGCAGGTGTATCCATTCCCACTGCCCCGTGTGACTGGCTGACCATTGATGACTACAAGCTCATGCTGGACGTGAACCTGAACGGCGTGATCGCAGTGACTCTGAGCGTCCTGCCGCTAATTAAGAAGGCCAGGGGACGGGTGGTCAATGTAGCCAGTGTGTTTGGGAGGATCAGTGCGACGGGAGGCCCCTACACTGTCTCTAAGCATGGTGTAGAGGCTTTCAATGACAGCCTCAGGTAAAACATTAACTCAAACAATTAGTTATTTGTCTGTATGTCAACACAAGCACTGATAAAATTAAATGTCTTGCTTAGGTTAAATATGCAGCCATTTGGTGTCAAAGTCCTCTGCATCGAGCCAGGCTTCTTCAAAACAAACATGATTGACGTTGGTATCCTGGCCAAAAGTGTCAAGATGTTGTGGGACAGACTGCCCCAGGAGGACAAAGATGACTATGGAGCTGAATATGTGCAGAAGGGTAAGTTTGGATCATATTTTTCTTCATTTGTTTTTTAAAAATTCTTTTAATTTATTTACTCCACTTTCTTCCTCTTCCAGCATTAGCGATGATATCAGACAAAGTTCCCAAGGCCTGTGATGGAGATCTGATGAAGGTGGTCAGCTGTATGGAGCACGCTGTATCCGCTGTCCGGCCCCGCACCCGCTACTCTCCCGGGTGGGACGCCAAGCTTTTCTGGCTGCCGCTGTCATACATGCCAACCTGTGTCAGTGATTACATCATAAAGAAACAAGCCATTCCTATTGCCAAGCAGATACAATAAATTGTGCTCTTTTGTATCAACGTGTGCACATTTTATACCACTCAAACAATATAGACTGGAGATGTAATATTTTTTGTTTGTGACTAAAACCTTATTGAAAGAGAATTGTGATGATATGATAGTGATTTTCGTGCACATCTAACTTTTGTAAAACTGCGCAATAATAATATACAGATTGGGAAGTTTTAAAAAAGACAGAGTGGGGATGTGACCTTGAACAGTGGTTCCCAATTTTTTTGTACTGTGACCCTTTAAAGTAAGACATGCATTCTCTTCATGGGTTGCATTATGTGTGAGTACAAGGAAAACCGTAACCTAAGAGTTCATTTTACTTGAAAATCTTGATATAAAACTGAAATCGACGTAAATGCGAATACATTTTTATTTGTGTTTAACATGAAAAATATTCTGTTACAAGTAAATGTCCTGCATCAAAAAAAGTATGTAAGTTTAATTAGGAAAATGTACTTAATGTATTAAAACTCAATGCTGTCATGGCTTTGGATTTGAGTTGTGCTTCCTGTTTGATAGATAGATAGATAGATAGATGTTTCTATTTCTGTATTGCAGAATACACATTCATTAAAGTCAATGTTAAATCTTAGTTGTAAAATTTCTTTGGATATATATCATTCATTGTTTTAAAATGTACTTCTTTAGGTGGTACAGGGAAACTGAGGTATTCACATCTAATTTTCTTAGAGGTCACAGAGATGTATTTCTGCAATATATATTTTCTTTTTAGAGGAGAAAACATTTCTTGTGTTTAGCAGATGGTTAAGTCTGCTTTCTGAAACATGGCCCTGGACTGCCATCATGTGGTCAGACTGGGTGCGAACAGCCATTTCATGAAATTCCCCATAAGGAACAAGAGCCTCAACTACAGCTATTGGAGTGTTTAATTCCATATTTAATTGGAAACATTAAATACATCTTTCTTTGAAGATGACGATGATAATGATTTAAATTTGGACATATTTTACAAACTAAGTGCTCCTAACCACAGGATGCCTCTCCTTTTTTTCTCTTCTTTCTCTGCCTTCAGAGCGAGTTCCTCGGTGAGGCCGACCATGTGGAAGGCTTGCTCGGGCAGAGCATCATACTCACCCTAGAGGGAAACAGGTACAAAAGGCAGTATTAGTACTACAAATATGCAAAGAAGTTGAGGGGCACCAGCACCACCTAGAAAAATGGGATTTAAAAGTACTTTAAGTCACAATCTATTGTTGAAATTATGTTCCTAACTTTCTTTTTATAACCTAAATAGCATCACTCAAAACACATCTACACATGCTGTTCATATTATACTGCATATATCATATCCCCCACCTCATGTAGGCTACATGAAAATACCTGCACAGAAATATTTATTCCAGCATTCTTTGCACTCTGTTCCAATACACTATTGTCTTGCTGTCTATAAATGTTATTATTTTTGTTTGTTTGTGTGTATCTGTCTGGTTTCATTGGGCTTTTTGTCTTGTTTGATTGTGCTTGTTCTGTGTGTGTACAATGAGTCAAATGCCTCCTATGTGGACACACAACTGACCAATAAAAGTGATTCTTATTGATATACATTTATTGCTGCAACCAACTGCATGACATCCCTCATTGTCATACAGGAGATCGGAATACATACATAAATAAAAGTGTAAATAAGTGAAATAAATTGACACTAGTTTAAATATATAAATAAATCAATAAAGGGAAAAACAATAGTCTTTATTTACATTACATTTACTCATTTGGCAGATGCTTTTATCCAAAGCTACTTACATTTAAGGAACAACAGTAAAGAGAGAGATCTAAGAGTGACAATCGATGCTATTAAGAGCTAATTAACACATACTGCATGAATTTGATAAATACTTAAAGGAAGCAATCAAAATCAATCTTTGGATTGTTTTAAGGCAAACTCTTTTATTTATCTGTATATTTTTCTGAATGCTCAATTGCTTATTTAATTTGTTTGCAATGCCACTTTTGACCCCCCAATCGAAAGCTATTACTTTTCATGCCAACAGGTGGCGCCTGTTGTCCTGTCGGAAGCCGGTCGTGCAGATCATAAAAAGGAAGGCGCGGCTATCCTATTGGGGGACAGGGCTGCTTTCCTTTTCAGGACGATATAAATCACAGGCTACGCTCCTCGACTGGTAGGCGCAAGTTACATAATTAACTGTCCTCTAACCAACTGCGACAGTCCGGGAAGACCTCTGCACACCAGGTATGAGATATGATTTCTGTCATTTTAGCACGATGGGCGAGTTCACCGAAATATCTAGACGAGGAGAAAACTTCAAGGGACATTGTTTAATAATAGGTTTCTTAATTTACACGCTGTTAATACCTAATGTCTCCATTATAGTCAGGAATATGTGCGACATAGAATTGGTTTGGCGTTTTTATTTATCAGACTAATGTTTAAGTTGATTCTTAAGTTTTTATTCAATATTTTATACACTTTTTTTTATTGTTTTGTACACAACTTTTAATCTGTTGCTCGGGTAAAGAAACTCTCGTGAACTGTAGCGCCTGCGAGTTCACCAGCGTTTGTGAAGCCAGTTTATTAACGTTAATGAATACTTCGTGAAATTTAGGATATACTTCTTAGCGGTACTTAAATGTAGGTAAAGCAGAAGAAACCCAGAGTGGGGAACAATTGTCTCAGCTATAGCCTCCTTAATAATACACAGTACTACAGTACTGAATGTAGACCTATTGCTCAACTGTTGGGAGAAATGGCATCATGCGGTAGCTGATTGTAGTGTTCTTCTTCTCATTAGACAAGTGCACCCAAAACGCAAGAGTCGACTAGTAGATGAAGTGCAATTTCAAAAATAGCCTAAATATTTTATCCCCATTTCCCTTTGCAGTTGGGACAATCAAGCCAGCTGTACCCACACGCCATTTGTGGTATGGAGATCAGTTTGTCTTGTTATTTGTGTGAACAGATCGGCTATGACTGACTGTGTGTAAATGTATAATCTGGAACATGTCAAGATGGATGTTAAAATCACCACACAGTCAAAGTCAATCCAGATAATACACAGCAGTTTACATTTAGCTGACGCTTTTATCCAAAGCGACTTACAATTAGGGTTAAGTGTCTTGCTCAGTGACATATTGGTGGATGTGTCACAGTGGGGGATTGAACGCCGGTGTCTCACATCAAAGGTATAGTCTTATCCATTGCGCCATCACCACCTCTGTTCAGTAGATATTCTATTCTTGTAGCACATATCAGTTTGAGCTTGCTGTATTTGTACACAAAGTAAGTGGACGTGCTGAGCTTTTATCGGGCTGGGGAGAGACAGAGGGGCAGGGACTGTATAGGTGACAAATGTGAAGAAGAGGTGAGCGGTGGCAGGTTTGGTCCCAGCAGTGACACAAGCTCTCATCTGGTCAGTGAACGTGAATCTGACTGATCAATGTCCACCAGCTCTCCCCCGTGCGGGCGATGGAGCCGGTTCCAAAGTTGAGCCTTTCTGACATCAGTGCTTAAAGATTCTCCAGAAAAGCTGGGATTTTGCTTTAATGATGTACAGTAAAAATCACCAGAAGACACATAATTAATGACAGGTTATTAAAGATTCACTAAAATGGAAGAGCACCTTACTAAGATCTCACACACAGTGAAAAATCTACTTTATCAAAATACTGTTTTTGCCCCCACTAATAGTCTGGTGCATAATTTTTTCATCATCCTCTTCATGGACAGAAGCAATAACCAAATAATGCAAGTTAAAGCCCAAAGCATTTATTTCCATAAAATATACAAAGAATCTGAAGTAAACTGCACTAGTTTTTTAGTTGTACAAGTGTCGTACATGTACATGTCGTCACACTCAAATCTGGCCTTTGACAGACTTTCCACAGCAAAACCTGGTGTTCAGCCCAAAAAAGCAAACTCAATCTGTCACAGTAACATAATAAGCTGCCTTCCCCAGCTGTTATTATGCATATATTATGAATGATATTGAACTGTAGTAGAGTGGGAGTATAGAATGGCATAACATGGAAATAATAAAGAAAAGTACAAGTACCTCAAAACTGAAGTGTAGTACTTGAGAAATGTACTTAACTGCATTTCACCACTGCTTCATGGTGAGCTACAGCAGGTCAAATGAGAGCCACATTGTATCGTCACATAAACTAGAAACAGTTTTCACTCTGTTCTGACAGTCATGTACCTGTTCCTCCTGGGGCTGGTGGTTTTCTACTACCTGTACCGCTGGGTCAGGGAGCTACCCAGGGTCCCTGACAAGAGTAGCAAGTATGTGTACATCACAGGCTGCGACAGTGGCTTTGGCAACCTCCTGGCCCGCCATCTGGACAAGCAGGGGTTCAGAGTGATCGCCTCGTGTTTCACAGAGAAGGGAGAAGAGGATCTGAAGAAGTCCTGCTCCAGCAACCTGATCACAACACACCTAGATGTTAGGTCTAAGGACAGTGTTGCAAAAGTTGCGGCGATGATTAAGGACAAAGTCGGGGAGTGTGGTGAGTGTGGAGTATTTACCCTTTTTTTTATTTTGGTCCAGACTGAAGTATCTCAACAACTTGGATAGATTGCCATGAAATTTAGTACAAACATTCCAGCTGATTTTGTTGGTCCCGTGACTTTTCCTATAGCACCACCTTGACTTTGACATTTGTAATGTCTCAACAACTGTTGGTTGGATTTCCATGTAATTTGTTACTCCCATTCATGCCCCCCTCAGGATGAATTCAAATTAATTTATAGGCAGCTGAAGGAATATGATTGAAATCCAGGCGCTCTGAGGAGCTCCTTGGCTATCAGTCTCTTCTCTCCTCTTTCTCTGCCTCCTTATCTATAGCTAAAAGCTCTTAATTTCAATTAACTGAAAACTCTCGTTCTCTATCTCTTAGCAGGTCAGCGTATTAGATGAAGTTGATGTACCTTCCATTTTCATGCTATTTTGGGGTTGTATCCACAAGGCTAGAATGAGGTAGAGCTTAGAAAATTCAGCACATATTGGCATGCTTTGATTTTTCTCTCCTGTGGTGTTGGATTCGGTTGCAACTCTGCTACTTCTGATGGTGAAATTTAGTCTAAAAAAAAAAAGTACTTATATTGACTGAATGTCCTCTGTGTGATCCTCTTAGGTCTGTGGGCTGTGGTGAACAATGCAGGTGTATCCATTCCCACTGCCCCGTGTGACTGGCTGACCATTGATGACTACAAGCTCATGCTGGACGTGAACCTGAACGGCGTGATCGCAGTGACTCTGAGCGTCCTGCCGCTAATTAAGAAGGCCAGGGGACGGGTGGTCAATGTAGCCAGTGTGTTTGGGAGGATCAGTGCGACGGGAGGCCCCTACACTGTCTCTAAGCATGGTGTAGAGGCTTTCAATGACAGCCTCAGGTAAAACATTAACTCAAACAATTAGTTATTTGCCAGTATGTCAACACTAGCACGGATAAAATGAAATGTCTTGCTTAGGAAAAATATGCATCCATTCGGTGTCAAAGTCCTCTGCATCGAGCCAGGCTTCTTCAAAACAAACACGATTGACGTTGGTATCCTGTCCAAAAGTGTCAAGATGTTGTGGGACAGACTGCCCCAGGAGGACAAAGATGACTATGGAGCTGAATATGTGCAGAAGGGTAAGTTTGGATCATATTTTTCTTCATTTGTTTTTTAAAAATTCTTTTAATTTATTTACTCCACTTTCTTCCTCTTCCAGCATTAGCGATGATATCAGACAAAGTTCCCAATGCCTGTGATGGAGATCTGATGAAGGTGGTCAGCTGTATGGAGCACGCTGTATCCGCTGTCCGGCCCCGCACCCGCTACTCTCCCGGGTGGGACGCCAAACTTTTCTGGCTGCCGCTGTCATACATGCCAACCTGTGTCAGTGATTACATCATAAAGAAACAAGCCATTCCTATTGCCAAGCAGATACAATAAATTGTGCTCTTTTGTATCAACGTGTGCACATTTTATACCACTCAAACAATATAGACTGGAGGTGTAATATTTTTTGTTTGTGACTAAAACCTTATTGAAAGAGAATTGTGATGATATGATAGTGATTTTCGTGCACATCTAACTTTTGTAAAACTGCGCAATAATAATATACAGATTGGGAAGTTTTAAAAAAGACAGAGCGGGGATGTGACCTTGAACAGTGGTTCCCAATGTTTTTGGTCTGTGACCCTTTAAAGTAAGACATGTATTCTCTTCATGGGTTGCGTTATGTGTGAGTACAAGGAAAACCGTAACCTAAGAGTTCGTTTTACTTGAAAATCTTGATATAAAACTGAAATCGACGTAAATGCGAATACATTTTTATTTGTGTTTAACATGAAAAATATTCTGTTACAAGTAAATGTCCTGCATCAAAAAAAGTATGTAAGTTTAATTAGGAAAATGTACTTAATGTATTAAAACTCAATGCTGTCATGGCTTTGGATTTGAGTTGTGCTTCCTGTTTGATAGATAGATAGATAGATAGATGTTTCTATTTCTGTATTGCAGAATACACATTCATTAAAGTCAATGTTAAATCTTAGTTGTAAAATTTCTTTGGATATATATCATTCATTGTTTTAAAATGTACTTCTTTAGGTGGTACAGGGAAACTGAGGTATTCACATCTAATTTTCTTAGAGGTCACAGAGATGTATTTCTGCAATATATATTTTCTTTTTAGAGGAAAAAACATTTCTTGTGTTTAGCAGATGGTTAAGTCTGCTTTCTGAAACATGGCCCTGGACTGCCATCATGTGGTCAGACTGGGTGCGAACAGCCATTTCATGAAATTCCCCATAAGGAACAAGAGCCTCAACTACAGCTATTGGAGTGTTTAATTCCATATTTAATTGGAAACATTAAATACATCTTTCTTTGAAGATGACGATGATAATGATTTAAATTTGGACATATTTTACAAACTAAGTGCTCTTAACCACAGGATGCCTCTCCTTTTTTTCTCTTCTTTCTCTGCCTTCAGAGCGAGTTCCTCGATGAGGCCGACCATGTGGAAGGCTTGTTCGGGCAGAGCATCATACTCACCTAGAGGGAAACAGGTACAAAAGGCAGTATTAGTACTACAAATATGCAAAGAAGTTGAGGGGCACCAGCACCACCTAGAAAAATGGGATTTAAAAGTACTTTAAGTCACAATCTATTGTTGAAATTATGTTCCTAACTTTCTTTTTATAACCTAAATAGCATCACTCAAAACACATCTACACATGCTGTTCATATTATACTGCATATATCATATCCCCCCATCTCATGTAGGCTACATGAAAATACCTGCACAGAAATATTTATTCCAGCATTCTTTGCACTCTGTTCCAATACACTATTGTCTTGCTGTCTATAAATGTTATTATTTTGGTTTGTTTGTGTGTATCTGTCTGGTTTCATTGGGCTTTTTGTCTTGTTTGATTGTGCTTGTTCTGTGTGTGTACAATGAGTCAAATGCCTCCTATGTGGACACACAACTGACCAATAAAAGTGATTCTTATTGATATACATTTATTGCTGCAACCAACTGCATGACATCCCTCATTGTCATACAGGAGATCGGAATACATACATAAATAAAAGTGTAAATAAGTGAAATAAATTGACACTAGTTTAAATATATAAATAAATCAATAAAGGGAAAAACAATAGTCTTTATTTACATTACATTTACTCATTTGGCAGATGCTTTTATCCAAAGCTACTTACATTTAAGGAACAACAGTAAAGAGAGAGATCTAAGAGTGACAATCGATGCTATTAAGAGCTAATTAACACATACTGCATCAATTTGATAAATACTTAAAGGAAGCAATCAAAATCAATCTTTGGATTGTTTTAAGGCAAACTCTTTTATTTATCTGTATATTTTTCTGAATGCTCAATTGCTTATTTAATTTGTTTGCAATGCCACTTTTGACCCCCCAATCGAAAGCTATTACTTTTCATGCCAACAGGTGGCGCCTGTTGTCCTGTCGGAAGCCGGTCGTGCAGATCATAAAAAGGAAGGCGCGGCTATCCTATTGGGGGACAGGGCTGCTTTCCTTTTCAGGACGATATAAATCACAGGCTACGCTCCTCGACTGGTAGGCGCAAGTTACATAATTAACTGTCCTCTAACCAACTGCGACAGTCCGGGAAGACCTCTGCACACCAGGTATGAGATATGATTTCTGTCATTTTAGCACGATGGGCGAGTTCACCGAAATATCTAGACGAGGAGAAAACTTCAACGGACATTGTTTAATAATAGGTTTCTTAATTTACACGCTGTTAATACCTAATGTCTCCATTAACCCCTGCTTGTCCAGATGGTTTAAGTTGATTCTTAAGTTTTTATTCAATATTTTATACACTTTTTTTTTTGTTTTGTACACAACTTTTAATCTGTTGCTCGGGTAAAGAAACTCTCGTGAACTGTAGCGCCTGCGAGTTCACCAGCGTTTGTGAAGCCAGTTTATTAACGTTAATGAATACTTCGTGAAATTTAGGATATACTTCTTTGCGGTACTTAAATGTAGGTAAAGCAGAAGAAACCCAGAGTGGGGAACAATTGTCTCAGCTATAGCCTCCTTAATAATACACAGTACTACAGTACTGAATGTAGACCTATTGCTCAACTGTTGAGAGAAATGGCATCATGCGGTAGCTGATTGTAGTGTTCTTCTTCTCATTAGACAAGTGCACCCAAAACGCAAGAGTCGACTAGTAGATGAAGTGCAATTTCAAAAATAGCCTAAATATTTTATCCCCATTTCCCTTTGCAGTTGGGACAATCAAGCCAGCTGTACCCACACGCCATTTGTGGTATGGAGATCAGTTTGTCTTGTTATTTGTGTGAACAGATCGGCTATGACTGACTGTGTGTAAATGTATAATCTGGAACATGTCAAGATGGATGTTAAAATCACCACACAGTCAAAGTCAATCCAGATAATACACAGCAGTTTACATTTAGCTGACGCTTTTATCCAAAGCGACTTACAATTAGGGTTAAGTGTCTTGCTCAGTGACATATTGGTGGATGTGTCACAGTGGGGGATTGAACGCCGGTGTCTCACATCAAAGGTATAGTCTTATCCATTGCGCCATCACCACCTCTGTTCAGTAGATATTCTATTCTTGTAGCACATATCAGTTTGAGCTTGCTGTATTTGTACACAAAGTAAGTGGACGTGCTGAGCTTTTATCGGGCTGGGGAGAGACAGAGGGGCAGGGTACTGTATAGGTGACAAATGTGAAGAAGAGGTGAGCGGTGGCAGGTTTGGTCCCAGCAGTGACACAAGCTCTCATCTGGTCAGTGAACGTGAATCTGACTGATCAATGTCCACCAGCTCTCCCCCGTGCGGGCGATGGAGCCGGTTCCAAAGTTGAGCCTTTCTGACATCAGTGCTTAAGATTCTCCAGAAAAGCTGGGATTTTGCTTTAATGATGTACAGTAAAAATCACCAGAAGACACATAATTAATGACAGGTTATTAAAGATTCACTAAAATGGAAGAGCACCTTACTAAGATCTCACACACAGTGAAAAATCTACTTTATCAAAATACTGTTTTTGCCCCCACTAATAGTCTGGTGCATAATTTTTTCATCATCCTCTTCATGGACAGAAGCAATAACCAAATAATGCAAGTTAAAGCCCAAAGCATTTATTTCCATAAAATATACAAAGAATCTGAAGTAAACTGCACTAGTTTTTTAGTTGTACAAGTGTCGTACATGTACATGCTGTCACACTCAATCTGGCCTTTGACAGACTTTCCACAGCAAAACCTGGTGTTCAGCCCAAAAAAGCAAACTCAATCTGTCACAGTAACATAATAAGCTGCCTTCCCCAGCTGTTATTATGCATATATTATGAATGATATTGAACTGTAGTAGAGTGGGAGTATAGAATGGCATAACATGGAAATAATAAAGAAAAGTACAGGTACCTCAAAACTGAAGTGTAGTACTTGAGAAATGTACTTAACTGCATTTCACCACTGCTTCATGGTGAGCTACAGCAGGTCAAATGAGAGCCACATTGTATCGTCACATAAACTAGAAACAGTTTTCACTCTGTTCTGACAGTCATGTACCTGTTCCTCCTGGGGCTGGTGGTTTTCTACTACCTGTACCGCTGGGTCAGGGAGCTACCCAGGGTCCCTGACAAGGGCAGCAAGTATGTGTACATCACAGGCTGCGACAGTGGCTTTGGCAACCTCCTGGCCCGCCATCTGGACAAGCAGGGGTTCAGAGTGATCGCCTCGTGTTTCACAGAGAAGGGAGAAGAGGATCTGAAGAAGTCCTGCTCCAGCAACCTGATCACAACACACCTAGATGTTAGGTCTAAGGACAGTGTTGCCAAAGTTGCGGCGATGATCAAGGACAAAGTCGGGGAGCGTGGTGAGTGTAAACTCTTTTTTTTTTATCCAGAACTCTCTATCTATCTATCTCTTATATTTTATTAATGCAGCACTTGAAGCAGTTCAGCATATTAGATGAAGGTGATGAAGATGTATAGCTGCATGATTCTTGCTATCTTTGAGCTGTGTCCACATGGCTGAAATGCACTTACTGTAAGTCCCTTTGGAAAAAGCCAAATTAACCTTTAAATCAGCCAAATTAATGTAATGTAATGTTGTATCAACAGAATGGCTCTAGACTCCTGCAGTTTCTTAATTCTGTAGTCCTGTTTCCATTTAAGGATGAACCAACCAGCTTACTTTAATCAGCCATTATCATTAATTTTGGCTGAATTATAAGAAGGTAGTGTTTGTTTTTCAGTGTTCTTTGCAAAATCTTGCTGTTTGATATCCACAATCCTGAAATCACAGTGTTAAACATCCAACCAGTCCACCCAGTTTCCACCATGCATCTGCCTGCTTTGATTTTTCTCTCCTGCAGTGTTGGATTCTGTCACAGCTCTACTTTTTTAACTGGATGTCCTCTTTGTGATCCTCTTAGGTCTGTGGGCTGTGGTGAATAATGCAGGCGTGTCCGTTCCCTCTGCTCCCTGTGACTGGCTAACCATTGATGACTACAAGCTCATGCTGGACGTGAACCTGAACGGCGTGATCGCAGTGACTCTGAGCGTCCTGCCACTAATTAAGAAGGCCAGGGGACGGGTGGTCAATGTAGCCAGTGTGTTTGGGAGGATCAGTGCGACGGGAGGCCCCTACACTGTCTCCAAATATGGTGTAGAGGCTTTCAATGACAGCCTCAGGTGAAACATTAACTCAAACAATTAGTTATTTGTCTGTATGTCAACACTAGCACTGATAAAATGAAATGTCTTGCTTAGGAAAAATATGCAGCCATTCGGTGTCAAAGTCCTCTGCATCGAGCCAGGCTTCTTCAAAACAAATGTGACTGATCCTGGTATCCTGTCCAAAAGTGTCAAGATGTTGTGGGACAGACTGCCCCAGGAGGACAAAGATGACTATGGAGTTGAATATGTGCAGAAGGGTAAGTTTGGATCATATTTTTCTTCATTTGTTTTTTAAAAATTCATCTCTTAATTCACTCCACTCTCTTTCTTTTTCAGCGTTAGCGATGATATCAGACAAAGTTGCCAAGATCAGTGATGGAGATCTGATGAAGGTGGTCAGCTGTATGGAGCACGCTGTATCAGCTGTCCGGCCCCGCACCCGCTACTCCCCCGGGTGGGACGCCAAGCTTTTCTGGCTGCCGCTGTCATACATGCCGACCTGTGTCAGTGATTACGTCCTCAACAAAGAAGCCATTCCTATTGCCAAGCAGAAGGAATAAATTGTGCTCTTTTTTGTATCAACGTGGGCACATTTTATACGACTCAAAATGCAATCTGTCATTCCTGACTAAAACTGTATTTCCCATGCTCTTTTGTCTAACCAACTGCTGAATGGAAAGCAAGAATACATTACATCTGTGACATAAAGTTTACAAGTGAAAGAAGCACTTTGTCTGTTTGTAATCCCTTCACTGAATATATTCTGTAGACTTGCTTTTCTCAAAGGCAGATACATTGTGGGCACTGTCAGGTCTGCCTTATCTACACGCAGATAGGGGTTTGTTCAGACCAATGTTCATGGCCTTGATGTGTGAAAGGTGACAGTGCAATAAAACAGCAGTCTGGTTCAGACCTGGTTACAAAGTACATATGGAGCATGTGTACGTCGTTTTGTGGTTCTTTGTGGAAATTCACCTTGAAACACAATTTGGTCGATGTGAAAGTGATTTCCTTCTGTAAAACTGCCCAAATATAATGTACAGATTGAGAAGTTTTACAAGAGCAATAGACCTGTGATGCAACCTACAATGTTTTTGGCTTCTGACCCTTTTAAATTATGAGGGATTTCTTCTCTTATGTTGCATATGTCCACGAGTGCCTAGCAATACAGTAACAAGGGTTTTTGTATTCTATAGTATTTGTATCTATGTTTCATAGTTTTTATAAAAACTGTCTACAGTAGGTTCTTATTCAGAGAGACAATTGACAGTCCAGAGTCTGGGTTGTCCCTCCAACAGGAATTTCTTTCCATACCGAGTAACAATTCTTTTCATGCCTGGTTTTGACTGATACACTAGCTCAAGGTCAATATTAAATTGTGGTTTTGAAGCCTTAAAGTCTCAAATTAAATCTTATGAACCCTGCAAAAAACACTGTAATAAAACAGTCATTTGTGGCCCTTGTTAATCATCCAGTGACCCCTCCTAGTGAGCCAATGACCCTTGTGTTGGAAACCTTTAACCTAGCAAACATCCTTGATCTCATCACCTGCAAGTCTGCTGTTCATCTCACTCCTGGGTTAGTGGCTTTTGTGCTACATTTCTTTACTGTTAATATGCAATTTGGGTATAACGGTTTGCTACAAGTGACAAGTTTGTCACCCTTTTAAAGTTTAGACCAGCACTCAGTTATTTGTCCACGGTTTTATTTGGAATATGTAACCAGCTGCACAACAGTTCAGATAGCTTAACAGGGCCTGAGACTACCATCTAGTGGTCCGAGTGGATGAGAACAGCCATTTCATGAAATTCCCCTTCAGGAACAAGATTCTCATCTACAACTATTACAGCCTTTAGGAAATATACAGTTGACAAGCCGTTTTATGTAAAGACAGTG